GATCTGAGGAAGGTCAAGTTGTTTTCACGCTAACATTAGTGTTAAGTGTGCTAATAAGTTCGAATAGGTGAAATGACGTCCCAGGTGTTCAGTACTCAGGGAGTTCACGTTCGTGTTTAGTCGATAAGTGATTTTTTTAAATGCCGAAGACAAGTAAAGAAGCACAGCTGATTATCTGTTCAAAAGGTCCTTGTTGGAATTTATGAAATTTTATTCTGCTTTATAGAGCAGAGTGAGAAAAAAATAGTTTGAAAAAAAAGATGGTTCATAAATGGGGATAACGCAGAATTTACCCCCTTTATGATCCTTATTTTTTCGAATCAGACTTATTTTTTCTAATTCTTTCATTGACCATTTTAAACAACAGACAAGTGATATCTAGCAACAACTAATCCAAACAGTTACAGACCTGTTAACCTACTTATTAGTTTTGCCTATCCGCGTATCTGCGGTTCCTGTACAAAAAAAGCATCATTATGCCGAAGCATTTTGGTTTCAAGCCAGGACTATCTATCTACCCCTGCTCAATTAGCCAGGATAGTAGATTATATAACGAAAGCCTTTTATGTAAGAAAGCATATTGGCACGGTTTTCATAGAGATCTAAACGGTCTTTGACACTGAGCACCACCGTATTCATAATGGTATAGTCAGCAGGATGATATAGTTAGGAGAATTATTGCTTCATAAAGTCCACTCTTATCCAGACAATTAGTTGTTTCGATCATCCCTTTGACATTGTTGACCTTTGACAACCAGTGACATTCTTAGCTCTATCCGTTCCTTGCTTATTTGAACAAAATATCTTCTCCAATATCCTCCACCTTTTCTCCACACCCGGTCCCGGTCATCTCATTGTCACAAACCAAACCAGCACTCATCTTTGAAGAGAATATACCCAATTGCTAAAGAACAATGTACAAGCGAGTAAAGAAACTAGGCCATTTTCACGAAGCATTCTGATGACTGTTTTATGGTCAAGCTTTACATTCCGGAACTTTTGGATTTGACTAATTATCAGCCGGAACGGTTCTACAAAGCGATAAGAGGAATAAAACGATCGTCTCTAGCCGTCGTACATCGCAACCACCACGCCACTACCACAACATTCGATCGGCGGCCCTAAACCGTTGACCAAAGTGGATGAGTGGGACCAACGCTGGGAGCGCGTCACGCCCAGAACTTTGGCTATGTGTCGCGGGTGCTTCGTCCTCGTTGGCCAAAGCATCTGCCCCAACTTCTCGACGTAAAACCATGCTTTGAAGAAAAAAAAGTTATTACTAAAATTTACAGTTACATCAAAGAAAACTAACTCACTCGACCAGTTGACCCTAGAAAGGATGAAATTGAATTGATTTTCTTTATTTTTCATCCATTATATTTCATGGTCCGATTAACCAAATAACTTCTTTCAATTAATTAATCTTTATGTAAGGTATTGATTGAAATAAAAAAAGCTAGTGTCACGAGCGGGATTCGAACCCACGACCTTCGGCTCAATACGCCGCTGCTCTACCACTTAATCTATCGTGTCTTCGATCCACTCGGACAACTCCCCATCTCAAACTTTATTTTTAACGTAAAGGAAGAGTAACACTATAAAGGTAAACAAGTTGTTAATGTTTGCACACACGTGCGTAAAAGTTTTGTTCGTGTTATGCAAACTTGTCGTTGAAAGCTGGACTATTACAATTTGTAGGTCGCTGTTTTAGTTGTTTGCGTTTAAATAGTATTATTTACATGGGCTGTTATTATACAATAATTAATTAATCATGTCAGGGCCGGACTTGTTAAATATATTGTTTATTTAATTGTTATTTTACATTTTCTCTTTTATTTTGAACGTTACTGATTTATGGGATTGCGCGGGCCCGAAATGTCACGCATAACGGTGTATTCTCACATTTGTACATTCTAGTTTTTTTAATGCGTGTGGTTGTTTTAAGAATGATTTCTCTAGTGAAATTGTTATTGTACTGCAAGCAATTATTTAAATGGGGTATTATCTCAGGGACTATAAGCAACAAATTGCTAGCTAATTAGGTCAGGGTTGGTTTAATTCAAAGGCGGCAGAACGTCTACAATTCAGTAAATTGAACATGAGAGGGCGCCGCGTATGTTCATATAATAATTTTTTTATATATATTAAAATAATGTGGAAAAGACACGGTGATAGAAGTATGACCAGGTGTAATAATAAACACTAGGCACATATCCGGGTGTGGTGATGTCACACCTCCGTTAATAATCAACGAAGGACCGATCAGGTACAACCGGTTCTGCCGGGAGCTTCCCAAGGACCTGGGAGAACACGGGAAAACGGAAGATGCCGGAAGATGACATCTTCGCTTTCCCCTGGGTGACGTTCGAACAAGCTTTTTCGGATTCGCACACCCTCGCGGATATCTGGGTTTGTCTCGATTGAAAAGGCAATCTGGTCCGAGGAGGGTCCGTTGCGCAAGGGAGGTGGACGCCTCGGGCGCTGGTCCACCCGCCTATCGTGCGTATATATCTCTCGTATAGATGTGGGTCAATGCTATCACTCCCTCGACCCTTTCTACGGCTTACAACACACACCCGCATCAACAACTCTGTTTATGGTAAAACCTCATATCTTCCATGACAATCACCTTATCGGAGACAGTTAGGGTTATGGATCAGTCGAGCATACCGCATGGGAACTGGAACTAGTGCGATCTTCGCTTTTCAACCGGCGAACCGACTTAAAAGCGGTCACGTATTTTTTGCCGTGTCGCCAATTACGACCTGCAGATCTCCTGTACGATATACCTCCTGGGGAAACGGATGACGAGGAGTTGAACAATTAGCTTCAGACGTGTTTCAACCCGGACGTCAGAGTCGAACAAAAGGGCCTGAAATTCCCTTCACGCTCCTCTAAGAGCGGTCCCTCGACTTCCGAAATAAGGAGATGCATAGGCCGCTCTGTCGGCCGGTAAAAGGGGCCAGAGATACAAATCCGAGAGAGAAGGAAATGAGTTTGCCGACTGATAGCGACCGCTGGATCTCCCCTCCTTCTGAAGGTGGACATTGTCCGCTGACACTTCAACACCTCGTCGGATAGATAAACTCACTGACGTATTTAAATTGAGATGTTTATCGCGTACAACGCCGTTTCGCCTAGACCGAACGATGGACGCTCCCTCTTCTAATTACAGATCGTTTAACTTCTTCCATTCACCGGCCTTTTCCAGCCAATTGGAAAACTCGTAGGCGTTGTTTTGTGAAGGGAGGTCACCAAACGAGCAAACGTCGGCAAACTCTTTACTATAACCGCTCTTATCTCTAATTTAATTTCTCCTGTTTTACAAACAAACTTTCTCACCCCTGATAGAATTTGGATTCACATTTCATGCTAAAAGCGTGACACCTTGAAACAATATTTTAAATCTAGGATATTCACAATAAGGAACATCCTTTCAAGCATCGGCATTTAAGTTAAATAGGTAAATATTTAACCTTTTCTTGCCCAACGTTTCCTCGGGGCGACACTAAATTTAACAAATTTGCTAAAGCTTAATTAATCGCATCAATTTAGGGTGCTTGAATTTTTTCCTTCAATGTTTCATCTTGTGTAATGGCAACACTGAATTTTTTGGCGTCAATCTAAAAACTCCATCTTGGAATCTTCTAACTCCAACAAGGATCGTCACCCCACCACTGCCTCTTGTATCGATTCTTATATTTGCCGAGTATAAAAGTTTTCATATCAAATTTATAATTAACTCAGTTTGCAAAAGCTTAATTAATCTCATGAATGTAGGGTGCTTGGGTTTTGCCCTCAATCTTTCATATTTTGTAATGGCAAGAGTGAATTTTTTGGCGCCAATCTAAAAACTCCATCTTGGAATCTGTTAACCCCAACATGGATCGTCACCCCACCACTGCCTCTTGTATCGATTCTTATATTTGCCGAGTATAAAACTTTCATAACAAATTTATAATTAATTCAATTTACTAAAGCTTAATTATCTCATGAATTTAGGGTACTTGAGTTTTGTCTTCCATTTTTCATCTTGTGTAATGGCAACACTGAATTTTTTGGCGCCAATCTGAAAACTCCATCTTGGAATCATCTTTCTCCAACATGGATCGTCACTCCACCACTGCCTCTTGTATCGATTGTTATATTTGCCAAACATGAACTTTTTCATATCCAGTTTATAATTTAACCCTTTCTTGCCCAAAGTTCTTTAGAACAATCAACTTTAGCAATTTTGTTTAGGTTAGCAGGAAATCCCATGAGTTTAGGTCGAGCGTAGTGCTTTTCCTGCTGTTTTTGCCCGTGTATTGGCTACACTGATTTATTTGGCGCCAGTCTAAAATTTCTATCACTAATTGTGTTGATTTCGTAGTTGTTTATAAACCAAACGTCTATTGAGGTAAAGCGATAGTAGGTAGTTTTCAGAATGTATTATAGGGCATTACCGCTTTCTAAATACCAAAGTAGCAAATATTGCCAGTGCAAAATTGCAGGTCCAGACTTTAGCAATTCAAATTTGTTCAAAAATAAACTCACTGTACTATACCCGCTTTGTATACGATGTAAATATATTTTTTGTTTTTTAAATAGATTTAACCCGGATTATCAGCTTTGATCTTTGTTCGCTTCGATTAACCGACGAGCGATTAAAAATCTAACAACACGAACATGTGTAGATCGAGCGTTACCGATGAACACGCCGGTCATGGGAATATGCTAATTATAACGGAAATGTTAGATTAGACCTTTCGAATTATACAGTTGATAATGCATTTTTCCGCATGCTGGTTGAAAATACGCGATACAAATGGAAAAATTTGGTCCCGAAATTTTCGCTCTATTAACTACAGACAGTCTAGATATCAAGAGAGTGTCATAGATAATTTCGGATAAACAGATTAAAACAAACTCGCAGATAAGATGCAATAGCAATGATTTAAGAAGTTATGTTGTTTTCTTTGTAAATCAAACTTAAAATGACTTGAGAAGTAAGGTCTTACCTGTCGTAAAAAGGACGATGGCTTTGAGGCAAGAGTACTCCGCCGAGTCGACGTGGAGAGCTTTGAGCTTTTCCACCTGCTCCTGGAATATCCTTATGTGGTCCATGAAAGCGACGACCCGGTCGGCGGCCATGGGGGAGGCGTGCAGACCCGCTGCAGCGAGCAGGGGCGCGACGTGGAGCGGCATCGAACACTGGGACGCGTTCAGCACGAAAAGCTCGCTCCAGACTAGCCTGAGCAGTGCGACTTGGTCGGTGACCTAAAACGAAAAATATCAGTTCGCAAGGAGAATACTGTCCCGTGGCGGATACAGTTACCTTTAAATCCTTTCCTTTAGATTTCGCCTTCAACGTTCTGTTTTTCTTTTCCTATCACCTGAGATTGTTGTGCTTTTTCCTTTCTCATCTCACATTGAGAAAGCTTTATCATCAAAAACTACCTAGCTTTTATTACGTACTTGAAATAAACTTGATCATGGCTAACTGAAGCTAGAACTTGACGGACCGATAAATCATATTTGAAGTAATAGTAATTAGAATAAAAACAATAAAGTTCGTAATTAACAAAAAACTCCAAAAAATATTTCCGATCCAATTAACTATTGTTATTTACAAAATACGAAAAACTTTCATATAGTTTTCAACAAATTACAATAGAAATAAGAAACTGATTGCTGAATTATCTAGTGTGTTTACACCCTTTAAAATACACTACTATTGAAAATTGATTGAAAGGCCCATCAAGTTAGGAAAAATATTTTTGTCTTAAGCAGTTTTTAGTTAAAGAATAGATAGAATTTAAAAATATGATACAGCTAAACGTGACTGAGGAGAAAAGAATGAATAGGAAAACAGCATAAAATGGCGTATAAGGCAAGAAAGCTACTTTTACCAAAGGTTTTAAGGAAAGATTTACAAGGAACATAAAATATTGGTAACTTTTTTTTATGTTAAAAAGAAAGACTTTCAAGTCTAACTATTGACAAAGATATCGAAGTCTAGGAATAAAAAGGTGCTTTACCTGCAGGTCGGGGAAGAAAGGTATGTTGCGGGCCCACTCGACCGCCGAGAAGAGCAGCCTGGCCGCGAGCTCACAGATGTTGTCGATGCCCATGATGTTGTTGGGCTGCATGCACTGCCCGTACCTCGAGGTCGGGTACGGCTCCGCCCTCAGAAGCAGGGAAATGTACGACGAGAGGTAGGAATGACCGTTGAAGCCCGCTGCAGCCGCAGCAGCGGCGGCGGCGGCGGACATCGCGTCGCCGTTTGTCAGCGCGAACTGGCCAGGGAGGCTTGGAGGTTGGCTCGGAGGGACTCGCCCCCTCTGAACAGCTGCAAAACCAAAACATAATAACATTTTTATAATTCTAAAGAACTGCTTTTTTTAACAGCCAACGCTGTCCTGAACATTTGGATTAGTTACAGTTATTATGCCAAAAAATTGATTAACTACATCCCGATGAATGTTTCGCCGGATTATTTTAACTACAGGGTCGTGATCATGAGAACGTCATAACTGTTGATATATGCATAATTCAAATAAATAATTTATCGATGTAATAGGTGAAGGACTATTTACCTTTACGGCAAAAGAAAATAGGACTTCGATTATGATCAACCTTTAAAAATAACACACAATTATAAAAAGTAGCACACTTTAGACAAGGTTCAATGCGCAGGGTTTTTCTGAGGATGACGTGACACGAGAATAAAATTTCCCATTGGAGTAAATTCCTCAAAAGAACTAAATACCATGTACAATTTTACTTTTGCCGTGAAATGTTAAGTAAGCAACACAACAATAAATCTTTATGTGCAAGAACATTGCATGTAAATTTACAAGAAAAAATAATATTTTCGTACATCCCTGCCTGCTGTCAAAAGGCAAAGATTGTACTAGACAGCAGGGGTTTTTGGAGATCATCAGAGAAATAAGCAGAATATATTTTTACAAAAGCATAATGAAAAACCAACAAATAAATAATAAACGTGCAACATGAAAAAAACCCAACCAGATTCAATCTTGGCTTTGAAACTACAATTTAAAATTTTTGAAATTATATTTTTTGCCTTCTTTGTAGTTTTTTCAATTTTCAATAATGATCCTTTTTCCCTCTCTCTCTTTCTCTCTCTCTCTCTCTCTCTCTCTCTCTCTTTCTCTCTCTCCCACTATCTCTCTCTCCCACTGTCTATTTTTTTCTCTCTCTCCCGCACTCTCTCTCTTTCTCTCTCTCTCCCACTCTCCCCTTCCACTTTTCTCCTTCTTTCTCTCTCTCTTCCACTCTCTCCATTCCAATCTCGCTCCCACTCTCCCACTCTCTCTCTTTTTTCTCTCTCCCCCACTCACTTTCTTTCTCTCTCTCCCACTCTCTCCCTTCCACTTTTCTCCCTTTTTCTCTCTCTCTCTTCCACTCTCTCCCTTCCAATCTCGCTTCCACTCTCTCACTCTCTCTCTCTCTCTCTCTCTCTTTCTCTTTCTCCCACTCTCTCTCTTTTTCTCTCCCCCACTCACTCTCTTTCTCTCTCTCCCACTCTCTCCCTTCCACTTTTCTCCCTCTTTCTCTCTCTCTCTTCCACTCTCTCCCTTCCAATCTCGCTTCCACTCTCTCACTTTCTCTCTCTCTCTCTCTCTCTTTCTCTTTCTCACACTCTCTCTCTTTTTCTCTCCCTTCCACTCTCACTCCCTCTTTCCCTCTCTCGCTCCCACTCTCTCTCTCTCTCTCTCTCTCTCTCTCTCTCTCTCTCTCGCTAAAAATGTGAGTTAGCCAATGAGTTGTGCCTTGTGTTATATTCAATGATGTAACTAGTTACAAGATTATTTTTAATAATCTATTGATATTTAATTATTTTTAATAATAATAATACAAAAATGAAAATTTAAGAAAGATTTGGTATAGATTCATTATTTTAAATTCATTGTATAATTTTTGCATATATCTATACGGTTTACATAAAATAATTTTAAGAAGTGATTTCGCATTTGTTAGTACGTCCACAGGAAACAATACCATAGGTTATTATGGATTGTGCAAGAGAAAAATTTATTGCCCTTAAGAGCTCAATTTTAATAAATCTATGTAAAATCCTAATTTTATATTTACGAATTATTTTTAAATTGTGCACCTTATTGACAAATCTATGCTCCTTGGATGAGATTTTGCCTATTTCTGATCAATTTTTTCTATAATTTAACTGATAATGACCAAATCTTTTCTTCATTTCTGAAATTCTCCGTTCAAGATAATAAAACGTAAACGTATAAATATATTATTGCAAAATATAATATTATTCTTGTCTAATTAAAGATCCTTAATCTTCATGGAATGTTTTTATTTTATAAATAAAATAAAACCTGAATGGCCAAGTCTTAGAGATACAACTTGACTAATTTATTCACGTTTTTCAGTTACATGTTCTATTTTATTTTAGTTTTTGCCGTTTATTAATCATTTCGATTTGTGCGTTTTTCCGACGGCTGAAATTGCTCTATGTATCTATGAAGTACACCGACTCGCTTTCTTGCGAAGTTAATCAATTAATCATATTGATCGTGTTTTTTTACGTAACAGTTATTACAACTGCATCTGGTCTTATTTAAATGAAGCCGGTGGGGCTTGATTTGAATGTAAAGCGCGCCAGGCTAGCGCTTAACTCCCAAGGTTAGGACTATAGCCGATAGGTAAACACCTGTGGATAATTTAAATAGTTAAAAAAAACAACGTACTTGCCAGCTGATTGATTTTCAACTATATTGATTTTAAAAATATAAAATAATTAATTATAAATATAGTACAATTAATATACACATGTTTAACGTTTATTTTCAAAAGGTTATTGATATACAATTTTATTGATTTTTATGAGACAAAACGCAACATGGTATGAGCCTATGTTTCATAATCTTGCATTTATGCTTCTTTAAAAAATTACATTACAATAAAATATGCATTTATATATACAAAAACTATCATTTTTCTTTGTTTTATTTTACATTCTATTTTTGTAAATTGTAAATATGTAATATACTTTATTAAATAATACTGTTATAATCATATTGATTATATGCTTATTGTAAAATATGCAACCCTTATTAAAAAAATTGTACAATTTTAAAGCAATAAAATTTGATTTAATTTGAAAATTGGTTTCCATGGATACTCGACAAAACTAACGTTTCTAGCTTTGAAGTGGAAAATTTTTGTTTTTCCCAACAATTACAAAATCAAAATTAAGCTATGTACGTAAGTAGCATTGTGTTTTAAATTGACAGTGAAATACTTCACAAACCATTGCAAAAAGAGTATTTTTTATATTTTCACTCTTTAAAAAAATTACAGCGTGTAGGAGCATAAATGTAACTAATTTCCAAATTCCAACAGAACATAATTTATAACATGAACGCTGCCCAATTTTATCAGTATTTTCCTGATTTTCTCAGCTTTTTCGGTTGCCCGAAAGGTCTTCTGTACAGCTTTATATATCACATGTCGGAAAAACAGCCCGGGCCGTGACAGATCAAGGTGGCAGGCACTTAAGACAACCGCGAGTTTTGAAATAGATCGTTTTTTTTGCCGTATATAAATTAATGCAAATTTATTTATACAAGGCGTGTCAAAACATTTTTGCAACCCATGTATAACGATCGGGTGTTAATTTTCCTCGGTGATATTTTACTTTTACCAAGGAAATTTGGAATTTGTAAAACAACTTTATCCTGTTTGTATTGTATTGCGGAAATCGATATTTCATTTAAACTGTCGTGGATTATTTGGCAGATGTGGTTAATGTCTAAACTAAAAAATAATAATTATAATTAAAATTAAAAGTTATACAAAATTTAATGTCAAAAAGATTCTTTTATTATTTCTAGATTTAAAAAAATAAAATTATTATTGTTGACCAATTATTTTATATTTTCAAAAATTACAAATTAATGCAAGAACCATTTGTTTTTATATTTAATTTTTTACAAATTTTAATTTTAATTGTTATTTAATGTGGTAGTTTATACTATAAGAACCATTTTATAATTTTTTATACATTCTCAAATTAAAAGAAGAACCTTTTATTTTTATATTGATTTATATAAAATTTTTAATTAAATATAATAATTTTTGTACGGTTTTATAAGACCCAATTTTTTTATTCGTTAATTTAATTGAACAAATGAAATGGCCACCGAGAGCTTTAGTGAAGTATACTTCATTTTTCTTTATTACATTTATTAGGTTTCGTGGTCCGCTTGGCCAAATAAATTCTTTTCAATTAATTAAGATTTCGGTTGAGATAAAATTCATAAGATAAGATTCGTTTGTCGCCGAGAATCAAATAGATTACACGATATTTGAAAAATGGCAAAAAGGAGGGAAAATTAAGAAAAAAAGTGGGGTTGAGATGGGAAATTAGTGTCCGAGTGGATCGAAGTCACGATAGCTCAAGTGGTAGAGCAGCGGCGTATTTAGCCGAAGATCGTGGGTTCGATTCCCGCTTGTAACACTGAATTTTTTAACTCAGCCAAAACATTAATTAATTGAAAAGAATTTATTTGGTCAAGCAGACCACGAAACCTAATAAATGTAAATTGTAACGATGAGCTGGGTTATCGACTTGCTGGAAACATGAAATTTTTTCGAAGGTTCTACGGAAGAGGTCAACAGAGAAAAACTTCCTTTCGGTTTTAGCCGAGCTTTCGACAGTTTTTATACTGTCATCTTCAGGGCCTGTTTTATTATCATATAAAAAAAAACAATTAAAAACATGAGAAAACAAATTGCACAAAAATTGAAATATCTTACTTAAACCTTAATGGGAAAATAAAAAGACATGGTGTTTTGGGCAAAGAAGTACATTACGTTTTTTTGGTGCTCAGCATCTAAACATTATTTAAATTGAATAAATTAATAATTAAAAATTACAACTGGAAGTACAATAAAAATTATAAAACGAGAGGGATCGTTTCCCGTAGCTTTGTTCCTCTCGTCGAAGAGGGTTTGTTGTGTTTTTGTTTTTTGATCTGTGATATTAATGTAAAGTAATTTAAATGTAAGATAAGTTAATTGTATATATGTATGTATAAGACACACAATGTGATCGCATGTACTGAAAGAAAAAAAAAAAGAAGATTTTACTAGTTTTTTACACTTTTATGAGGTAACCTTTTCTCGACCACGTTTTTTAATTTTTATTGTACTTATAGTTGTAATTTTTAATTATTAATTTATTAAATTTAAATAATGTTTAGATGCTGAGCACCAAAAAAAACGTAATGTACTTCTGTGCCCAAAACACCATGTCTTTTTAATTCTCCATTAAAGTTTAAGTACGATATTTCAATTTTTGTG